CCGACCTTCGCCGCTCGATCATCGACTGCGTATTATTCAAAACGTCGCCGATGACACAATAACCGATATTACTTCTCCCTCGTTCCCGCCCCCAGCACCAGGTGCATAAGCCCCGTAAGGTCTCGTTCGGGTTGTATATCTCTCCTCGGACCATTATGATTTCGCACGGACAGCTAACACATGTCTACGAATTTGGGTGTCAACTTGAGTTAGTATCGGCATATCTCTCGCGCCCAGCTACATTATTTTGCGTCGGACTCCCCGAAAAGCTCTTTAATCTCGGCAGCTTAAGTAGCTGCGGATTACTTCATCAAAGTTATGACTGGATTCCGAGGGTGGAGTATTCGAAAATGGACCGCCATCGATTTTTGAGGATGACGGCGTTAATTGACTTTTCGGCGCAAATATTGGTCTCCATTGTCGTCGTGTGTTGAGACTGTGTGTGACCCGAGGGACGGCTGGTGTCGTGTGGAGGATCTCCGGAGACCGCCTGTCCGCCCCGATGACGTGGGCTAACTCTCCGTGACCTCTGCTGACAGGATCTACTGCTCTTATCGAAATGGAAAACTTCAAAATGATGTTTGACTAACTGAAAAGGCGGACTCGGACTGACAGAGGAGTTGTTTATGACCGGGGCAGCGGCCAGCGCTCATGTCTTTTTAAAAGGCAGAGCTGCAAAAAAATACGGGCTGTCCGAACTCTACACGCTATAACATTAAGATGTCAAAAAAATTACTAGCAAGAGTTTTTACGTGTATATCTGTGTTATCGTTTTTGATTGATTCGATCCATATTTATTACCTCAGCTTTTTCATGTTTATTTCTATTAATGCAGCTCAGGTTATTTCTTTTTGCACAGAAATCTAAATATTTAACTTCGTTCATTAGACAATTTCCTAATTTTGTGCTTTAACTTCTTGAATCTATTAATCCAATCTATTTTTAACTTTATATAGATGTATAAGTTTTTCGATAATTACTAAAAAAATTACAATAAAATAAGTACTTATGAACTACACAACTTCAAAGGAAATTCCTCAACAATGTTCGATTCGCAAAAGCCCTTGATCTTTTCAGACAAATAACCCAAAAACAAACAAAAATTCTGTTTTAATTCGGAGCAGTTTTTCTGGGGGCTCCAATGACAATTTTTTGGAAACAGAAAATCAATGTTCACTATTTGGGCTAGCCGACGAACTGACTACTAACACTTATTATATGACTTTCTGAAGAATAAAGGTATTATTATTATTAATATTATTACAGTTTAGCTTATTTGTTGACAGATTAATTAATTTAACAAAAATCCAAATGGAGCGGCACATTAATAAATGAATGTCATAGCCCGCTAGATGTAAATCATTTATTAAAACAAACAGTCTATATATACTTAAACGGCGATTATCGATTTTCGCTGCTAATAACATGAGGAAAGGTGAACCTCTCAATTGAATTAAGTTAGGAGTTGAAACAAGATTCTCTATGGAAATTTTAGGGTCCGTTATTTTAAAATCTAAGTTAAAATCTGCAAAAAGAGAAATCCAAAGAGGAAGGACATCACGGTCTCGCTTAAATGGCGTGGCGGAAATCAGGGGAAAAAAGTGTATTTCTGAAAATTTGGTTAAAAACAGAGACCACGGAAACCAATGCAAACATCACGCGAACAACAAATGACAGAAGGGTTATTAAAGTGGAGGTTGCGAAATTCCTACACCGACGTAGAAAAGGCACTTACAAGAAAAAATATATTTTTTCCAAGAACTACTAGTTTGTTTTCCATTTTTAATGTTTTTCTTGTGCTCTTGAAACGTAATTAATTTTTTAAAGAACATGATTAAAAACGACATTTCTTAAGTCAAAAGAACTTTTTGATTATCTAATATTTGTTAAACTGTACGAAAACTAAAATAGAAAATATGTGTCCTTTACAGATTTGTCATTAACTAATAACCATTGTTAGGTTATTTTAACTAACTTTATCATATTCCCAGTTGAAAATCTTTTTAGAAATGAAAATAAAATGTAAGTCAGGGCTGCTAGGAATCATAAATTTCCCGGTTGGTCCCGAAACAGTGTACATCTTTTTTTGAACAGTTATTTAGAATTTTTACATATACAGGATTTTACAATTACAAATGAAATAATATTTCTAAAAATATAACAGACGCATAAAAAACTATATATGTAAATATTAAATAAGAACATCTTTTTACTTTCAAAGCGTAAACTCAGTACGAAATAGTAGGTCCCCCGTTTCCGTCTGTCTGTCTGTTTGTCTGTCTGCCTGTCTGCCGTTTGTCTGGATTTTTATTAGACAGATAATCTGTCAAATTTTATATGTGATTACGAATATCGTGTAAATGGTAAAACGCTAATCAAAATTAGGCCAATTATCCCTACCAACAATTTATTGACGTCATCTTCAAAATTTACAGTAGTAAATTAAATTTTATAAAATAAGATAGTCCTGAACACGTGGTTCACGACACCTTGTTGAGTTTTTATCCTAGACATTCAGATTTTTGGAGAAAAAATCAAAACCGAATGCTTTGAAATTTTGCAAACGTTTTAAGGTTATAAGGTAAGCATTTTTTTAGTTATGCCCGTCTAAAACAATATGACATCATTTTACAATTTTGCCAAATAAATATTTTTTAATCTATGTTAACCAATTATAAATTTTCTAGTGATTGGAAAAGCATTGTTTGTTACTTCAAATCAAATTCTCATCTGAAAAACTCGGGTTTAAGGATTGGATTATCGGACGTTTTAGATGAAATATCTAAATTGAAATCAGTAGAAAGTAAAATAATGCGTTTCACCCCACATTTTTTTTTCATTTATTTAAGATTTTTGTACCTGTTTTTTCATCTATTTTAAGATACTATATCTTTTTTTAAACAAACAGGCCTGTTGACGTTAGTTAATTTTTATTATGAAGTTTTTTTTATACATTGTTTTCACATTTCACCCTTTTTTTAAGGTTATTCTTTAAAAAGTTCTGGATTTCTAAAGATTTTAACCATGATTCCAGCCGATCCTTATAGAAACGGCTGACTTTGAGTTTTTAGAAAAATCTAAAAAAAATATTTCAACGTCAAAACTGGCCTGTTTTCTTAAAAAAAAATTTATAAAGCACCTTATAATAAATTAAAAATAAAAAAGCACCATTTTACTTACTACTAATTTGACCCTTTTTTTTGGTATTATATATATATTTAATTTTATAGGATTGCGTCCTTCTGCAAGTATGATTCATGAATCCCAGTTTTCACCCTAGACATCCAGACTTTTGGCTAAAGGATCAACATTCTGTAACAACATTTTACATATTTAACTTTTAAATTGTAAAAACGAGTGCTTTGAAAACTTACAAGCTTTCTAAGATTATCGTAATCACGGTAAATCTTTAATCAAATTTTTTTCATTTATGTCGTCCTAAAAAATGATGGCGTCATTTTATAATTTTGAAAAAAATGTTTCTTACATTTTTTAGAACTACATAGTCCATGTATATAATGTACTGAAATTTTGCAAACGGTTTAAAGTTATAGGAAAGATGATAAATCGTTAATCAAAAGTTTGATTTTTTTTTTCAAAAATCTAGATATCTAGGAGATAAATTCAACACGGATCCATAAACCACAAGTGCAGGAGGACAGTATTTTTGTAAATTGACGTACCATTTGCTATCGCATAATTGTGAGATGACGTCATCGCGTTGGTGGTGGGGACGAAAGACGCCAGACGACAGACGGCACAGAGACAGATAGAATTTAGAGATCATCATTTTGGTCAACTAGTAATCCTGAAACATGGAGAAATAATGAAATTGACAAATGACTAGATCGGTCAATTACAATACTTCCGTTTAAATCGAGAAGTCAAAATCGGTGGGTTGTTATATTGCTTTAATATTTATATATTTCGACAGAATCCTCTGATAATCCAAAAATGCCATGTAACTATAAAAATTAAATGTTATTAACAAATCGCGTAACAACAAATGTCAACGTTTTTGAATCTGTAAAATACAAACAAAAAAAGAAATCAGTGGCTCGAATGTGAGCACAATTTTTCATAGCCATAAATTTAATTCGTTTAAAAAAAATCAACTATTGTATAACACTATTTTACGATTTAACTTTCAAATTGCAAAAACTGAATACTGTTTAAATCATGCAAATATTTTAAGATCATTTGAAACACGGTAAAGCATTAATCAAAATTTTTGCCGAATTTATTCAAATTTATGAGTGTTTTTGGAAAAAAAAAACTGAATATGAATTAATCAGTCAGTCTGATGCTTGTAATCTGAACGTGCTAATAGTCGCATTCGGTCGAAGTATAACATAAACAGTCGAAGTTAAGCATATAGTTTTAGTTTTTCTCTTTCAGAAACAAAAATCTATGCTTTTAAACTGATTGTCTTCCGGAGATACCAGGTTGTATATGGTGTCATTTTAAAGTTAGGTAACTTTATAGATTTTAAACTTACTACGAGACAAAATTCAATTTCAAACGATCATAAACAATATGTTGTAATATCGTAACGAAATTGAACAATCAGTATTAACTTATAATTATATGATGACTTTTTTATCTTGGTTTAATACAAGTTTTTAATCGACTAACTCGACATCAAGTTTTTAGCTTTAAAACGTAACGAGCACCTCTTTTGTTTTACTATCTGGTAACGCTGTATAACCCGCATTACTGTTTATTTCTTGTTGCAATGAATCACAATTTTGTCTAGTGTAAAATGGTATAGAAATCGTGACACTGGTTCAGTTTCGTTGAGATAATACCAGCATATGCACTTCAAATCAACAAGCTTTACCATTATTACTATCTTGCGAAAATTGTAAAAATTCAAGTTTTCTAATTTATTACACATAGGGTTTTTCATCTCTTTAGTTGTTTACTACCTAGTTAAAAACTGAATAACCCTAGACACTTTATTGAAACATACAACTAAATTTGCGTCATTTTTGTTGCAGACTTATTTTCGGCCCAAGGCGAGCTTCTCGGAGGATTCGATAGAGGCGCAATCGTCGACGAGGCTCGAAGGTAAACATCCAGATTTTTCAATAAGTTCCAGTGTAATAGCATTAGGTCCTTATTTTATTTCCTCGTTTCCTCTCACTAAAGAATTACGAAGAATCGAGAAAGAATGTACCTTTGCAGTAAAATTTCATCTGCGAACTTTTTAAAACTTTGGGAAACAATCTTAATACGAGGAATGCCGACGAGTCGTTATTTAAAAAGCTGCTTGATGAGAGATACAGTCGGCCATTGTTTTACGGCGCTTTTTCTCTACTTATTTGATGTTTTCTTGTAAAAAGCTAACTTATATAAGAATTTCATTATTATAATATTATGCGAAAGTTTCCGTAAGACGAACTTCTTGCGCAACTTTCTCTTTAACAAGGATGTGCCGACGAACAAAAACACTTTGACTATTTGAACGCTTCTTCGATGCTGTCCACACTTTGTTTAGTTTAGTTTTTTGGGGCTTAACATAAGAATAAGCAAAACATTAGGAGTAAGTTTCTAAACGAGAGAAATCGATAATTTAGTCCTGAAAAAGGAAGCAATAAAGTACGAGACATCACCAAATAATTAAAACGCAATTAGGAGGAAAATCAATGACTCTGTGCAGCGTTTGAAGTTACGCCGTGCGCCTGAAGGAACTTCTTATTCTTCAAACATGACGAAATTAATTGACACACGCAGATTTGCATCTTTTGGAGTCGGACCAACATTGATTATTGAAAATTAATATTACTGCTGGTATTACAAAGTCGAAAATTTTGTATTCAGAAACAAACGTTTTGTTTAATAACAATTTTAGTACAAAAAATTAAATAACTATTAACTAACCGCTGCGCGCAAGTGACCAACACCAGATTTCCGCTACTATACTAGACCAACCACAAACCACAAACAAATTGCAATATACGACTTTATGCTTTCGATTTTTGGCTCAAACCTCAAGTTTTAATTGTCGCATCTAGCCAAAGTACACATTTCAGTGTTCGTGTAAGTTGCGTGCTTGTGCAGCCACGTTACATTGTTAATTAGCCGTCAGTATCCGTTAACACGAAGACTGCACCGGCGTTATTTATTGGCTAAATCACGTGTATCTTCCGGAAACGTCCGGAACTGACCCGTTACGCTCCCCATTACTGGGTTACGACGCGATAAAAGGCTCCCCCACAGCGTTAGTAAAAAAGAGCAAGAGCTTTTACACACTTCCTTTACAACCGGTGTGTATCGTAATCTTCATCAGCTTTAATCTTCCCCTCGACAACTCAATAAAAGGCAAAAATCCGAATTTTTTCGGCCCGGAAAAAATACATGGCTAGCATGCGGGGTCGAAAATAATTTAATTCATCGTCGGTTTAAACGTTTGTCGGCGAATTTGCGGCCGGGGCGAAATAAAGAATTTAACCGAGCGGTGGTCTATTGAAACGGGAGGCTCGCCGGCAGCACGTAGCCGAGCTGACAAGCATTTTTACAAATGATTCCACTCGCGTTCCCCACACACACGCACACATCGCCATTGAATATTCTATGGAGCAGACACGGTTTTCAGAGGGAGCTACAGGTGGCTCAACATAGATAGCATTTTTCAGCGGCTTCTTTCACTAAAGAGACGCCCTCAACAATTTCACACTGGCGATGCGCCGAGCGATAGGTAAGTGGAAAAGGATACTTGAGACCATCTCGAGGAAAAAGTAATTGATGAACGATTTAACCACACTTAACCGCATAACGTAGTTTATGTGTAAACAGTTTAAACAAAAAGGGTTAATCATCTTATTTAATTGAGATGTTATTAATGAAATTCTAGAATATTTTGCTGCCAGAAAGACACCACCGAAGTACGGATTTATATGCATAAAGCTTCCCTAAAATATATGCATAAATATACATGCACTGGAAAATGATAATATATGCACATAAAATGCTAAAATATGCACAGATTTTCGTAACATATTCATTTTATTGTTTAAATTCGTGATGAATTTCTTACTTCAAATGAGGCACTATTTAGATTTTCACTTACAAAATTGGTTGAAGTTTATTTCAACAGAACTTCCCTCGCGCCTGAAGTACAAATCCATCAGGTCCCGTTTCCTTTAAAAATTATAAAAAAGTTAAAACCAGCGATGTAAATAATACGTCCACATATACAAATACGGACAATATAAAATATATTTAAAGCAGATAACCACCGGGAAAAAATGACCTCTCAGCAATAATAACAAACTTTAACTTCAAGTATTTATGTTTGTACCATAGAAGAATGTCACATAGAAATTTGTTTGATTTGAATGAGTTTATCGCTTCAAAACCGAAGAATAAAATTATTAGTTAAGCCGGAACGAACAAAATGTTCTGAATATTATTACTATAATTTTTATTAATAATATAATATAATAATATATATATATATATATAATACACAGCGCGGGCGAAAAAAAAACAGCCAAGTTTGGCATCGAACCTGCGATCCGCCGGTCCGCGTGTCGATGTCTAATCCACTACACCACAGATGTTGATTTCCTATGTTAGTGGTAAAATGGTATCTATTATATTGTGTTAATTTTTTGTGAACATTTTGACGTTTAGGGAAAAAACTCAAAGCAGATTCGTACACCACAAGTATAGGTGTATATTATTGTATGACATTTAAGTCATTTTAAAATAGAGTTCTTTGAAATGATGTCAACAAATTGTCGGTGGGGATGATTGGCCAAATTTTGGTTAGCGTTTTACCATCTACATGATATTTTTAACATATGTACAAAATTTGACAATAATCGGTCCAGTAGTTTCGGAGATTACGTGTCTAATAAAATTTGATACACACTACAGACAGACAGAGAGACAGACGATAAAACATAAAAGTAGGCATTCCTCCGGTGGACTCGATTACTAGACTGAAGTAAGTATGTACCTTTTAAGATTTTATTGCATTTACATTACAATACAGCGGATTAAAGATGATACGTTTATATAAAATATGTAATGATTTAAAAAAAATGTATAAAGTATAGTTTTGGAAATTTCATTCTACCCTATAAAATTTTATTGACGATAACGAGACGGACAGTAGTACAATGGTAAGAAATATTTATGGCTCACGCCAGTTCATCCGAATTTGTCTAAGAACATTTAGCAAGTAGTTGTACTGATAAAATAATGGTCATTTCCGTTCATGAGTAACGATGGTCCCTGTCCGGACCTAGATTATTCTGTTTTCTAACATCTGGGGATTACCGGCACGAGACAACTTTAAGTAATAAATATCTCTTGCTATTGTACTACTGTCCGTCTAGTTATTGCCAATAAAATTTTATAGGGTACAATGAAATTCCAAAACTATAGTAATATACAAAATTAAAGAAATTGTCCATTAAAAATACTGTGATAATATGTTTCTAGAGCTTCCATAGAAAAATTCTGTCATCTATTTATAGGTACGATAAAAAAAATTAAAATAATGGTTTGACCAGTATCACTGATAAAAATGTTAACTTTTTGTTTGTTAATAAGATGACATAAAAATTCTGATAAAACAATTCCAAATATACTCTCCAAAACCAACCAGATGACCTTATCAGTTGGAGTTTTTTTTAGCAGGAACACATTTCTAGAGACTTTGTATAATATTCTAGATCAAATTTATCAAAACCTAATTTTTATTATAAAAAATATACAAAAAAAGACAGTATTGTTATCATTCTACGTACCAATACTGAAAATCAAGAATGCTAATTCAATCTTTTTTACTTCCCGCGCGTAAGCGAAGGAAGTATTGTAATCGAGTCCGGCAGCCGACTCACTACTTTTACGTTTTCTCTACCTTCCATGACCCCTACAGCACGAAGAAATAGGTCTCCCATTTCCAGGTGTCTGTCTATATGTTCGTTTGTCCGTCTATCCATCTGTCCGTCTGTCCGTGTGTATGTCCGTGTGTCTGTCCGTGTGTCTGTCCGTCTGTCTGCCGTCCCGGATTTTTATTAGACAGAGAAGTCCTGGGCTGATTGTTGTCATATTTTGTATTTATATTAGGAATATCATCTAGATGGTAAAACGTTACCAAAATTTGTCTAATCATCCCCACCAATAATGTGATGACGGCACTTCAAAATTGTGCATAACAAATGGGTTTTAAATTGCATAGAATAACATACGCACGTAGTTTATGACTCCGAATTGAGATTTTAGCCGAAACATCCAGATTTTTAGAAAAAAAATCAAAATTAGGAAACAACATTTTGCAATTTAATTTGGCATCTGCAAAACCTAATGCTTTGAAATCTTGCATATGGTTTACAGTTGTGATATGCATGATAAATTTTTAATCAAAATACATTTGCTCATCCCCCCTAAAAAAATATAACGTCATCCCAAAAATTCTATCTAAAATGTACAAAATATGATGAGTCTGTACTGGTGATTTATCATTCCATTCATATTGTTGGATTTGCATATGCAGCGAGACTCAAAAAAGAATGAATGCGTGAATTTGTTTTATTGATTTAATCAGGAACTGCAAAACCGAATGCTTTGAAATCATGGAGATGTTTTATGGTTGTCATAAACATGGTAAATTTTTTATCAAATTATCTTAAATATGCAAAATATGATGAGTCTATACTTTATCATTGCAATCATACTTTTTAGATTTGCTTATACACGGTGAATGAAAAAAATTAATGGATCAGTCAAAATATTTTGTTCTTGTACTGTGTTGCTACGTATTATCTAGGTATACGTTTTGTGCAAAAAACCGAGTATGCTTACTTAATTAATTGGTCCTCTCTTCTGTGTTGAAGGGACAAAATCAATCAAATGTCAGTTTCTTTTAATACATATGCATGTATTTAATGCCATCGTTACGTACTTCAATACCGGCCCTGATACGATATGACGTGCTAATGGTTGAATTCTTTCGAAGCATATTCATAAACAAAACAGTTAAAGTTAAACTAGTACTTGGAATTAAAAATACATTGTTTCCTACTGATTATATCTGTTCTAAATATTATTCATAT